CAAGAGTGGCAAAAACCTCCCTGCCAGCAGTGCCCCTCACCCCTCAGGGCACAGAGATGGATTTGAAAGCTGTGAGGCAAAAAAAAAAAAAAAAATCCATGATAGTTCAGGGACAGGGAGGAAAGCAGCACTGGGAATGCTGATCTGAGGAGGAGGGGTCTCACCCTCCCAAACAGCCCCACACACTCTGTGCACATCCAGGCATGCCCTGGGCTGCCAGTGAGGAGCCCAGAGCCCCCAGCCCTGCTGCACTGCAATCCCTGCCTGCCAGCAGCTCTAAGCAGGGATTTCTTCCTGCTGTGCCACACGAGGCACTCACCAGCCTTTATTAGGGAGTGATGGGATCATGCTGAGCCCTCTGATCACCCTCTGCTGGCTCCTGCCTGAGCCCCTACTGGGTTAAGAACCCCCCAGGATCCTCCCCTGGGGGCACCAGGCACAGCTCAGCTTTCACACTTCTCTTAAAAACAGTCTCAGAGTCAGGGAAACTGAGCCCAAAACCCCAAAATCTCAGTGTGTGCTGTGGGGAGCTCTGCTGGGACCTGCCCCAGGAGCTGCCAGAGCCCTGAGCTCCAGCAGCACCTGCAGAAAGAACCAAAAGTGACCCAAACTCCAGGAAAACCTGCCCAGAACAGGGCTCAGCCTGGCCACAGGGATCCAGGGCAGGAGCTACTCTCCCAGGGCAGGGATTGCTGCTCTCCCAAAACAGGAGCTGCTCTCCCAGGGCAGGGATTCCTGCTCTCCCAAAACAGGAGCTGCTCTCCCAGGGTAGGATTCCTGCTCTCCCAGGGCAGGGATTGCTGCTCTTCCAGGGCAGGAGCTGCTCTCCCCAAGGCAGGAATTGCTGCTCCCTCCAAGGCAGAAGCTACTCTCCCATGGCAGGGATTCCTGCTCTCTAAGGCAGCAATTGCTGCTTGCCCCCCCAGGGCAGGAATCTTTGCTCTCCCCAGGGCAGGAGCTGCTCTCCCACCACGGCAGAAGCTGCTCACCAAAGGCAGGAACTGCTGTTCTCCCAGGGCAGGAGCTGCTCTACCAGGGTAGGATTCCTGCTCTCCCCAAGGCAGGAATTGCTGCTCTCCCTCCAAGGCAGAAGCTGCTCTCTCCAAAGGCAGGAATTGCTGCTCTCCCCCCAAGGCAGGGATTCCTGCTCTTCCAGGGCAGGGATTCCTGCTCTCAAAGGCAGGAATTGCTGCTCTCCCCACCAAGTCAGGAATCCTTGCTCTCCCCAGGTAGGAATTGCTGCTCCCCCAAGGCAGGAATTGCTGCTCTCCCCACCAGGGCAGGGATTGCTGCCCTCTCTCAATGCAGGAGCTGTTCTCCCCAGGTAGAGATTGCTGCTCTCCCAGGGCAGGGATTGCTGCTCTCCCCTCCAAGGCAAGAATCCCTCCTTCCCCAGGGCAGGGATTGCTGCTCTCTCCCCAGGGCAGGGATCCCTGCTCTCCCCAGGTAGGAATTCTCCCTCCCCACTCAGAGCCCAGCAGGGCTGGGGCAGTCACAGCTCCAGATGGTGCTGGGACAGCTGCCCCACTAAATCTGGACAAGGAGAGCTCAAGTTCTGCCTCTGTGCTATCAGAAGCTCATTAATCAGGTGATTACTGCTGCTCCATGGCCTGGCCCCTGGCCTGCAGGAATTCCTGTCTCCTTGGCACTGGATTTGGGCCTGGGTTTGCTCCAGGGGACATTGGTGTCCTTCACAGGGACCTTCAGCCCCTGCTCTGCTTCCTCCCTGTGCCCTTTCACTCCTCAGCTCACTTTACAGAACCTTTCATTTACAAGTCTGAGTTGTGCCAATTGATTTTTTACTCCTTAATTAAAGGAGGAGCCATTAATGATCTCTGGAATCCCACCAAGCAAGGATTTAACTGGGATTTGTGTTCCTCATTCTCCAACCCCACACACAGACCCTGCTCTCAAGGACCCCCCAAGCTTCTGCCAGGACACCCAGGGGTCCAAGCCAGTGGCAAAGGTGTCCCTGTCACCTGCTGGGGATCCTGTGGTGGGACAGGGCAGAGCCTCAGCCAGCCTCTGACAATAATAACCAGATTTTACACAGTCAGATGCTCCTCCACAGACCCCAAAGCAACAAAAACACATCCCTGAGGAAATGAGGAAAACTCCCTGAGGGCTGTTTGGGATTTCCCAGCTCTACACACAGCCCTGAGCCTGGAGATTCTGATCCAGGAACGCTGCAAATCCATCAGGGGCTGCAGGGGACACAGGAATGCAGTGGCACTCACCTGTCAGCAGAGCCCCCTGCAATTTTGCTGCCATCTGGGGACCAGGAGCACCTCAGAAGGTTCTAAAACAAAAGAACAAGCACAGCCTATTTAGTTTCTCCCTTTTCCTTGAACTCAAATCACCAGGAGACTTTAACCAGCACCACTTTAATGATCTCCCTTGGAAGATGAGATGGTAATTACAGATTTTATTTTATTGCTGGAAACAGCCAGTGCCTTGTTATTTTACACAAAGTAGATAGTAAGTGTAGAAAACACTTCATTTACAACTAATTACAAATGAACTGAGCAAAGAAATCTTGTTACTGAGGCTTTAATTGGAACCCACTTTGTGGATTCATCTTTCTTTGAGTTCTTATTAAAGCCTTTCTGGCCTAAGCTTGAATTGAAAAAAAAACAATTTAGAGGAAAGTTAATAGCAGAGGGAATTGAACAAGGAATGGAGCACACTCACCTTCTCAAAGTTATGGACATTTCCCTGGAAAATCTTCACACATCTCTCCTTGGGGGCGAAGGGCCTCACGTCCCAGATCCGAACTGCAGAAGGAGGGACAGAGGCTGAGGGGGACAGGGACAGGCAGCCCTGGCAAAGCCCCCGTGCCCAGGACAGGCTCCCTGACCCCACAGGCCATGGGGAACCAGCAGCTTCCCCTGCAGGAGGCTTTGCAACGTGGAAATACAAAAACTTCCCAAGCTGCCATCCCAAAATGGAGCCCAGCTCCTCACAGGAGGCTTTTCCTCACCCTGCCACATCCCATGGGCACGGCCCTGATGAGCTCAGCCTCACTGAGGGACAGGGGGACAGCAGGGTGGCAGCTGGGCTGTCACTCCTGCTGAGGGGACACAGCCAGGTCACCTTGACACGAGCCAGAGAGCACAGATCACCTGTGCCATGGCTCTTGTCCCCAAGTCCTCCAGGAGCTGGGCTGTCACTCCTACTCAGGGGACAGACCTGTGTCATGGCTCTTGTCCCCAGTGTCCTGCAGGGGCTGGGCTGTCACTCCTGCCAAGGGGACAAATCTGTGCCATGACTCTTGTCCCCAAACCCTCAGGACAATCTGTGCCATGGCTCTTGTACCCAATTCCTGCAGTACAACCTGTGCCATGGCACCTGTCTCCAGTGTCCTGCAGCATAACCTGTGCCATTGCTCTTGTCCCCAAGTCCTGCAGGACAATCTGTGCCATGGCTCTTGTCCCCAAACCCTCAGGACAATCTGTGCCATGGCTCTTGTCCCCAGTATCCTGCAGGACAACCTGTGCCATGGCACCTGTCCCCAGTGTCCTGCAGGATAACCTCTGCCATAGCTCTTGTCCCTGGTGTCCTGCAGGAGCTGGGCTGTCACTTCTGCTGAGGGGACAAACCTGTCCCATGGCTCTTGTCCCCAGGCCCTGCAGGACAACCTGTGCCATGGCTCTTATCCCCAGGCCTTGCAGGATAAGCTGTGCCATGGTTCTTGTCCCCAGGCCCTGCAGGACAACCTGTGCCATGGCTCCTGTCCCCAGGCCCTGCAGGACAATCTGTGCCATGGTTCTTGTCCCCAATATCCTGCAGGACAACCTGTGCCATGGCTCTTGTCCCCAATATCCTGCAGGACAACCTGTGCCATGGCTCTTGTCCCCAGTGTTCTCCAGGAGCTGGTACAAATCCCCCTGAGAGAGCTGCTCTCCCCTCAAGGACCCAAATTCAGGGGTCAGCTCTGGAGCCCAGCTCCCTGCAGCCCAGCCCAGCTGTGCCAGGATGAGCAGGCAGAGGTGTCCCTGGAGGTCTGCAGGCTGTACCTGTGTTGTCCATGGCGTTGGAGAGCAGGTAGGAGCCCTCAGAGCTGAGGCTCAGGCCCGTCACCGAGTCGGCGTGGCCCCGCATGGTGTAGGTGAGCTTGTTCTGCCGCAGGTCCCACACCTGGCA